TGTATCCATTCAGCCAGTCTGTGTCTTTTGGTTGGAGCATTTAATCCATTTACATTTAAGGTAATTATCGATATGTATGTTCCTATTCCCATTTTCTAAATTGTTTTGGGTTCGTTATTATAGGACTTTTCCTTCTCTTGTGTTTTTGTCTAGAGAAGTTCCTTTAGCATTTGTTGTAAAGCTGGTTTGGTGGTGCTGAACTCTCTCAGCTTTTGCTTGTCTGTAAAGGTTTTAATTTCTCCATCAAATCTGAATGAGATCCTTGCTGGGTAGAGTAATCTTGGTTGCAGGTTTTTCTCCTCGATCATTTTAAATATGTCCTTCCAGTCCCTACTGGTTTGCAGAGTTTTTGCTGAAAGATCAGCTGTTAACCTTATGGGGATTCCCTTGTGTGTTATTTGTTGTTTTTCCCTTGCTTCCTGCCTAGAGAAGTTCCTTTAGCATTTGTTGTAAAGCTGGTTTGGTGGTGCTGAATTCTCTTAGCTTTTGCTTGTCTGTAAAGGTTTTAATTTCTCCGTCAAATCTGAATGAAATCCTTGCTGGATAGAGTAATCTTGGGCGTTTTCAACTATAATCTCTTCAAATTTTTTCTCAGTCCCTTTCTTTTTCTCTTCTTCTTCTGGGACCCCTTTTCTTTGGGGACCCCTATAATTTGAATGTTGGTACGTTTAATATTGTCCCAGAGGTCTCTGAGACTGTCCTTAATTCTTTTCATTCTTTTTTCTTTATTCTGCTCTGCAGTAGTTATTTCCACTATTTTATCTTCCAGGTCACTTATCCGTTCTTCTGCCTCAGTTATTCTGCTATTGATCCCTTCTAGAGAATTTTTAATTTCATTTATTGTGTTGTTCATCATTGTTTGTTTGCTCTTTAGTTCTTCTAGGTCCTTGTTAAACGTTTCTTGTATTTTCTCCATTCTATTTCCAAGATTTTGGATCATCTTTACTATCATTATTCTGAATTCTTTTTCAGGTAGATTGTCCCAGCGGTCTCTGGGACTGTCCTGAATTCTTTTCATTCTTTTGTCTTTATTCTGCTCTGCAGTAGTTATTTTCACTATTTTATCTTCCAGCTCACTTATCCGTTCTTCTGCCTCAGTTATTCTGCTATTGATCCCTTCTAGAGAATTTTTAATTTCATTTATTGTGTTGTTCATCACTGTTTGTTTGCTCTTTAGTTCTCCTAGGTCCTTGTTAAACGTTTCTTGTATTTTCTCCATTCTATTTCCAAGATTTTGGATCACCTTTACCATCATTATTCTGAATTCTTTTTCTGGGAGACTGCCTATTTCCTCTTCATTTGTTAGGTCTGGTGGGTTTTTACCTTGCTCCTTCATCTGCTGTGTGTTTCTCTGTCTTCTCATTTTGCTTAACTTACTATTGTTTGGGGTCTCCTTTTCGCAGGCTGCAGGTTCGTAGTTCCCCTTGTTTTTGGTGTCTGACCCCAGTGGCTAAGGTTAGTTCAGTGGGTTGTGTAGGCTTCCTGGTGGAGGGGACTAGTGCATGTGTTCTGGTCGATGAGGCTGGATCTTATCTTTCTGCTGGGCAGGTCCACGTCTGATGGTGTGTTTTGGGGTGTCTGTGACCTTATGATTTTAGGCAGCCTCTCCGCTAATGGGTGGGGTTGTGTTCCTATCTTGCTAGTTGTTTGGCATAGGGTGTCCAGCACTGTAGCTTGCTGGTCGTTGAGTGGAGCTGGGTCTTGGCATTGAGATGGAGATCTCTGGGAGATTTGCGCCGTTTGACATTACGTGGAGCTGGGAGGTCTCTGGTGGACCAATGTCCTGAACTTGGCTCTCCCACCTCAGAGGCACAGCCCTGATGCCTGGCCAGAGCACCAAGAGCCTTTCATACACACAGCTCAGAATAAAAGGGAGTAAAGAAAGAAAGAAAAAGATAAAATAAAAAGTTATTAAAATAAAAACCAAAAAATAATTATTAAAATTTTTTTTAAGTAATTAAAAAAAAAAGAAAAAGAACAACCAAACCAAAAAACAAATTCGCCAGTGATAACAAGCATTGAAAACTATACTAAAAACAAAAAACAAAAACAAACAAAAAAACGGACAGACAGAACCCTAAGACAAATGGTAAAAGCAAAGCTATACAGACAAAATCACACACAGAAGCATACGCATACACACTCACAAAAAGAGAAAAAAAAAAAAATATCGTTGCTCCCAAAGTCCACCTCCTCAATTTGGGATGATTTGTTGTCTATTCAGGTATTCCACAGATGCAGGGTACATCAAGTTGACTGTGGAGCTTTAATCCGCTGCTCGGAGGCTGCTGGGAGAGATTTCCCTTTCTCTCCTTTGTTCTCACAGCTCCAGGGTTTCAGTTTTGGATTTGGCCCCGCCTCTGCATGTAGGTCGCCTGAGGGCGTCTCTTCGTTGCTCAGACAGGACGGGGTTAAAGGAGCAGCTGACTCGGGGGGCTCTGGCTCACTCAGGCTGGGGGGGAGGGAGGGGTGCGCATGCGGATTGAGCCTGCGGCGCGCCGTGCGTTCTCCCGGCGGAGTTGTCCCTGGATCCCCGGACGCTGGCAGTGGCGGGCTGCACAGGCTCCCCGGAAGCGGGGTGTGGATAGTAACCTGTGCTCGTACACAGGCTTCTTGGTGGCGGCAGCAGCAGCCTTAGCGTCTCATGCCCGCCTCTGGGGTCTGCGCTGTTAGCCGCGGCTCGCGCCCGTCTCTGGAGCTCCTTTAAGCGGTGCTCTGAAACCCCTCCCCTCGCGCACCGGGAAACAAAGAGGGAAGAAAAAGTCTCCTGCCTCTTCGGCAGCTCCAGACTTTTCCCCGGACTCCCTCCCGTCCAGCCGTGGCGCACCAACCCCCTCCAGGCTGTGTTCGAGCCGCCAACCCCAGTCCTCTCCCTGCGCTCCGACCGAAGCCTGAGCCTCAGCTCCCAGTCCTGCCCGCCCCGGCGGGTGAGCAGACGAGCCTCTCGGGCTGGTGAGTGCCGGTCGGCCCCGATCCTCTGTGCGGGAATCTCTCCGCTTTGCCCTCCGCGCCCCTGTGGCTGCGCTCTCCTCCGCGGCTCCGAAGCTTCCTCCCCTCCGCCGCCCGCGAAGGGGCTTCTAGTGGGTGGAGACCTTTCCTCCTTCACAGCTCCCTCCCAGAGGTGCAGGTCCGTCTCTATTCTTTTGTCTGTGTTTTTTCTTTTGCCCTACCCAGGTACGTGGGGGGTTTCTGGGAGGTCTGAGGTCTTCTGCCAGCGTTCAGTGGGTGTTCTGTAGGAGCAGTTCCACGTGTAGATGGATTTCTCATGTATCTGTGGGGAGGAAGGTGATCTCCGCGTTTTACTCTTCCGCCATCTTGAAGCTCCTCCTCGCTGCGTTGGGTCTTAATTGCTGGGCGCGGGCTTTCTCGAGTTGTGGCGAGCAGGGGCTACTCTTCTTTGCGGTGCGCAGGTTTCTCATTGGGGTGGCTTCTCTTGTTGCAGAGCACGGGCTCTAGGTGCACGGGCTTCAGTAGCTGTGGCCCGTGGGCTCTAGAGCACAGGCTCAGTAGTTGTGACTCACAGGCTTAGTTGCTCCACAGCATGTGGGATCTTCCCGGACCAGGACTCGAACCCGTGTCGCCTGCATTGGCAGGTGGATTCTTAACCACTGCGCCACCGGGCAAGTCCCTAAATAGACTTAATTTTTTAAGAGCAAGTTTTAGAATCGGCAGAATTGAGCCGAAAGTACAGAGTTCCCACACACCCACCGCACACACACGCACAGCCTCCCCCACTATCAACATCCCTCACCAGAGTGGCATGTTTGTTGCAGTCAGTGACACATCATAATTACCCAAAGTCCAGAGTTTACATTCGGGTTCACCCTTGGCATTGTACATTCTGTGGATTTTGACAGATGTGTAATGACATATCTGCCACTATAGTTTCCTACAGAACAGTTTCCCTGCCCTAAAACTCCTCTGTGCTCTTCATTTTTAGCCCTCCCCGTCACCCCAATCCCTGGCAACCACTGATCTTTTTACTCCGTAGTTTTGCCTTTTCCACAATGTCATATAGTTGTGATGAAACAGTACGTAGGCTTTGCAGATTGGCTTCATTCTCTTCGTGATATGCACTTAAAGGTCTTCTATGTCTTTCCATGGCTTGATAGCTCATTTCCTTTTTGCACTGAGTAATAGTCCATTGTCTAGATGTACTACAGTACATCCATTCACCTACTGAAGGACACCTTTGTTGTTTCCAAGTTTGGAATTGATTTTTTTATACCTAAATGTAGGACTTTATGGCTTTCCCTATTTTCATTTTGTTGATTTCCTCCTATTGTTACTACCTATTGAGATCTTTTTGAATTTTAATTCTGTGATGCTATATCCTTAGAAGGCATGCTCATTAAAATCAGAGATGAAACAAAGTTGGTGGGAATGGCTGTATCAGTTGAGTATACTGGGAGGCAGTTCAGGAGTGAAGCATGCTGGGATGAGGAAGCAACATGGTGGCCAGTGGGACAGGTCTGGTCTGCTCTGGTTTGGATGCAAGACGAGGCCGGGGGAAGCCAGGGAATGGTCAAGATAGTGGGATATTACCAGGGATAATGTAGCTTCTGTCATAATTCCAAGAGGCTCTGATTTTTAGAGCAAGAATGTGTTGCAGGTTTAAGGAGCAAGATACTTAGGCTTGAGGACGCTGTTGAGAGCTGAACGGCGTATCCGGTTCTCCTTGCTATGTAGGGTGCATTTCATAGGAAGAGCCTAAGACATAGAAACTAGGCAAGGAAACTACCACATCAGATGCCAAACTTGGTTGTCAGTACAATTTAACCCAAGACCCACATGCCGATTTGAGCTCAATTTTAGTAATGATTGACTGAAGAATCAGGGTGTGGCTGGGTCTCAATGAATAGGACCAACCTCAGGGATCTAAAGTGGGCAAAGGAGAAATAGTGTGGGCTTTGGCAGTGCCTGTAGCCCAGTCATGACTAGAAATATTTAATTGAATACTTGGCTACTTCCCTTAGGAATCTTTTTTCTTCTCTCCTCAGCTGCAGGTGTACTCTCCCAGAGAATCCAAACAATCACACCTTGCAGTACTGGAAGGACCACAACATCGTGACAACAGAAGTCCACTGGGCCAACCTGACTGTTAGTGTAAGTCTGGGCGCTGCCGGGCGGCTCAGTCTCGTGACCCCCAGGTTTAAGGGGACCTTCTAGGTAGAAGTGGGGTAGCCCTTCAGCAGGCTCTGGCATTTACAGAAATAAAGCTTTTTTAAAACTGTTCTTACTGACTTTCCTTTCCCCTTCAAAATTCTCTCTGCATAAAGGGAAAGGAGGGCTACCTCTCTCTTCTCTCCCACACGATCCCACCCAGTGACCCTGCACTCAGGATGTGGGCGGATGAAATCAGAGAGGGTAGGGGGGCACACCCAGGTTTTGTGGGGCTCGAAGAACATTCAAGTTTGGAAGTCCTCTGTAATAAAAATAATACAGATTGCTAGGGCCCTCCTAGAACCTCGTGTTTTCTTGAGACAGTTTGGTTTCCTTTACAAAATTGTTTTAGTCAGGACTCTAAGTAGTCACCCTACCTGCAAGCAAGAGCCCCACAGCTACATGGAGGGCAAGTAGATGCTGCAGGCAGCCTGAGCTTCCCAGCAACCGTGGGATGACAGCGCTGGTGGACTCAGCAGCTGTTTCCTCCCTCGTACCTGCCTTTCATCACCCAGAGTGCCTTGTTCCTTCAGGAGTGCCAGGAGATGCATGGAGAGTTCACGGGCTCTGTGTGTGGCCACCATGGACCCTATACTCCCGATGTGCTCTTTTGGTCCTGCATTCTATTCTTCACCACCTTCATCCTCTCCAGCACCTTGAAGACATTTAAGACAAGCCGCTACTTCCCAACCAGAGTAGGTAGCATGCTCTTGCATTTCTTTCATGTTAGACTTCTAATATAACAGAGCCTGTTCTAGGCCTCCATGGTGCTTGTGAGTAGATTGGCAGGCGCCGAGCTCCAAATGACCTGATTTTGGAGGCCGTGGCCTTCTCTTCTTCCTGTGTCCAGCAGCCTCTTTCATAGATGTGTGGTGTGGGATGAGGGGTTAATACTTAAGAGGTTTTGATTGAAAAGTGTCAGGTGAGTTTAAGGTGGTAATCGTGTTCTCTGAGAGTGATAAGTCTCATTTCCAGCCTGCTGGGGCAGGTAGCGAGCAGTAGCTGGAGCTGGCTCCTGAAGGTAGTAAATTGGGATGATTGCTTGAGATGTGTAGGGGACCCCAGAGCCTCCTCCCTGGGATGGCCCTGGCAATAGCTTATGAAATCGCTGACTTGGTCTGCGTGACGGTTTGAAGCCTCAAGCGTCTCTCCCTGACGCAGACGGCATTATTTGTGTCGTGACTGCTTTTGGCAGGGTGGAATTAGAGGCCAAGCGTAGAGTGGCTAAAGGGGTCTTTGCTTTGAGGAGGAGATCAATCAGGAGGAAATGGAGGTTTTTCTGCGTGTGCGAGTCTTCAGTTGGGCGCCTGTGCAGGGCAGGGTGTGTGAATGGGTGAGGGCTCAGTGGCTGAGGTATTTACTGTGCACACGTTCACGATGGAAACACAGTCTCAGACGTCAGTCAGCCTGCACAGTGGTTAAGGGAGGCGCGTATGGAGTAAGTTCTGGGGCGTGTTTCTGGTCTGGACGAATTGTGAACAAGTGGCAGCTGTGTACTGACTACTTGCTCAGGCCCGGGTCGAGTGCTACGGGTGATGCAGAAGTTTAAAATATGGCCTCTGTAACATACACCCTACTGCGTACAAAATAGATCAGACAACAAAGACCTGCTGTAGAGCTCAGGGAACTCTACTCCGTATCTTGTAATAATCTATAACGGAAAAGGATCTGAATCACTATATCACATATATATGGAACTGAATCACTTTGCTGTACACCTGAAACATTGTAAATCAACTATCCTTCAGTAAAAAAATAATAAATAATAAAACAAACTGTAAAACATGTGAATTGTATCTCAATAAAGCTATTATATGATTTTAAGAAATATATGGTCCCTGCCATCAGATAGGAAAGGGAAACCCGTGAAGCAACCATGCCCACAGGAGGCAGTAGTAAACAGTTAGATCATAAGGGCCATAGGAGTTCAGAGGAGAGAAGGGCCCTGGGCCCCAGGCTGGTCAGGATGGGCTTCATGGTGGGGCAGCTACATTTTCAGAGAATTTCTGTAACATTCAGAGGAGAACTAACAAAACCAGGGAGAGGGAGCTGGAAACCTCAGGTTTCAAAGGAAAGCAAAGTCAGATGAAGGTGTCAGTGATGTTACATGGGGCTAAGATATATTTGGTTCTGTCTCGTTGGAAGTTCGGATTAAGCTGGGCACTGGGCATTTGAGGGGCATTGTATTTTATTAAAGCTACACTAAACTGTAGAGTGGGAGAGTCAGTCCCTAAGGGACAAAATGGTGATAAGTGCTATGGAGAAAAATAAAGTAGGAAAGGAGTACAGGAAGTGCTGGGATGGAGGGTGGTGACCACTTTTAAGGAGAAGCATCAGAGAAGATCCGATGGGGAAGGTGATATTTGAGTGAACGTGAAAGAGGGAGCTACCCTCAGGGTTACCTGGAGGGAAAGCAGTTGAGGCAGAGGGATGAGCAAGTATAAAGGCCCTGAGGTGGGAGTGAGTCTGGCGTGAGTAAGAAACAGCAAGGAGGTCTGTGTGGCTGGAGCAAAGTGAGTGAGCCAGGGAGCGTTGGGAGCTGGGTCAGAGCAGTAAAGATGCCAGTGCATGCGGGCCTCACAGGCCAAGAAGGGCTCTGGGTTTTTTAACTCAGTGAAATGAAGAGCCATTTCAGGGTTTGGGTAGAGGAGTGATGTGATCTGACTTGTGTTTTAAATGATCACTCCAGCGGCTTTATTTTTTTTTCATTTATTAATTAAAAATTTTTTTTTATTTATTTCTGGCTGCATTGGGTCTTTGTTGCTGCGCGTGGGCTTTCTCTAGTTGCGGAGAGCGGGCTCTAGGTGTGCAGGCTTCAGTAGTTGTGGTGCGTGGGCTCAGTAGTTGTTGCTCACAGGCTCCAGAGCGCAGGCTCAGTAGTTGTGGCGCAGGGGCTTAGTTGCCCCGCGGCATGTGGGATCTTCCTGGACCAGGGCTCGAACCCGTGTCCCCTGCATTGGCAGGCAGATTCTTAACCACTGCGCCACCAGGGAAGTCCCTCCAGCAGCTTTAAATAAGGAAAGAGGCAGGGTTAGGAGTCTGCTGCAGCTATAGAGACAAGAGTTGCTAGTGCCTTTGATCTGGGTGGCAGCCATGGGGGTGGTGAGAAGGGCTCAGATTCTGGGCATGAGCTGAAGGCAGAGGCAACAGGACTTGCAGATGGACTCGATGTTGGGTCTGAGAGAGAAGAGGAGTGGTGCTGCTGTGAGGTTCTTGGCTGGCACAGCTGGACCTTGCTGGTCCCAGGAAATCTTATCCCAAGTTCTCAGAACTATTTTCTAAATGCTTGGCCTAGATGCTCTAAACAGAACTCCTCAGAGTTTGGAGTGGGTTCCGGTAGAGTTTATCAGAGGATTCATTCTCCCCCGTCCTGTCCACACTTCGGGGATGAATTTGGGCATGTTAACAGTGTCCCTGTTGTTTAAAAATGCTTGTATTAATTGAACCATAAAATTAAAGCATTCTTCTGAGGATGTTTAAGCCTTTTACAACACCTGAGTCTTTTCTATCGTACTTAACCTACTGAAACATGTCTCCAATCCTTTCTTGTGCCAGGTCCGCTCCACGGTGAGTGACTTTGCTGTTTTCTTCACTATCTTCACAATGGTGATTGTTGATTTTTTGATTGGAATCCCATCACCAAAGCTTCAAGTTCCCAGTGTGTTCAAGGTAAACAGATCTCAGGGTACTTGATACCCTTACGTAGTTTCATAGAATCTGGTCCCAGGTTATTTCAGAGGCCTTTCCCCATCCTGATGATGAATTTTTTAGTCCTCTAAATCTGAACGCTGCTCTCATGCCTCACCATTCAGAAAAGCAAACTCCTCAGGCTTGGCTGAGTTCAAGTCAGAAAAGTCAGAACATCTAGCGTTGTTTAATGAGTGAAAAGTATTATTTATTTTCATTAATGCTACTTATTGTTTTTAATATGTGAAGATTTAAAACAATGGAATATGTGTATTTACATAAATATATACCAGAGACTGTGGAAATATGGGTCTCTGGAACAAGTCTGGTTAACAGCACTTCATTGAGCATCGGCTGTATAAGGGTATCAGGAAGGATGAAAAGGCTCTTCGTAGGCCTCGGTCCCGCCCCTCAAGAATCTTGCCCTATGAGGAGGTGAGCTGGCCCAGGAGCTTCATTCTCAGTCTAGGGCCCCCACCAGAGTAATCATGACATCTCTTCAACCCTAATTCATTGCTTGTATATCTCTCTATAATCTATACTGTTTATCCAAAAACCAATCTAAAAAAGTAAAACAAATGATCAAAACATGGGGACTCCAAATCTATTTTAATTTGGGGGCACTAACTGAGTAAACTGAGAAGATGGAAGAGCTGAGCTCAGTTCCGTAGGTCCCCACGGGGTGGAGGGGCGAGTAAACCTGGGCATCCTCAGGAGAGGAGAGAATGGGGGAGGCTGGGGAGGAGGAGGGAGCCGGAACGTAGGCCGTTATCTTGTAAACACCCGGCACAGTTGGCCTTCGTCTTCCCTTTCTCTCGCTCTCTCTGAAGTAGGCCTGGTTAAAAATACCTTTTTCCATATTGCTTGAAAATTTTAAATTTTATTTTGTTGAATTCACTGAAATGCCACCAGTTAGAAATTGATGGATTAAAAAACACCCTCTTTAAAAATACATACGTCCTAGAATATGGCATTCTCACCTTTGTATGAATGAGTGCAGTCAGCTTTTTCTCTAATACCTGGCGGAGGTTGACCCTGTGCGAGGAATGGATTTTGTGTAAAAATAACTAATCTGGGAGCATTAAGAAGTCCCTGGAAATGTTCCCTGATGGGTAGGCCTAAGACAGTCAGAAGGCACTGAATTTCTGGGACATCTGGGAAGACGGCCTCTGCAAGGTAGGAGAGACGAGAGGGGAGATGGGAGAATGTCAAAGAAAGTGTTGCTCATTGGGAGGCCTCACTTTCAGGAAGCAGGGAAGAAATTTTCTTCCTTCTTCTCTTCCCTATTATACCACATGGCCCCCAGTGACCAAGACCCCATCTGAAGGCTAGTACTATTACTGATGGGGTAATGTCAGTCAGGGTTTAATAAGTTTTTGTGTTGACCTAACAATTTAACTACCACTTAGAACATTGGTACTCAGGAAACACAGATTCTGTAAACTTTCGGAACCTAAGCTATTCATAATTTGGGACTTGGTGACGTTATTGAAGAGTCTTTGAATCCTAGAGTCATAACCAATATGGAACCAGACACTTTGGATGTCATAGTCTTTGCTTTGTTCATTGAGTTTTGGTGAATTCTGGGCCAGTTTGTACTCCTGGCCTTTTATCCTCCGTCACTACTCGCCAAACAAAGTGAACTTTTCTTCCTCAGAGTACCTTAGCATTTTTTTGAGATCTAGGAGAGTTTAGGAATTTTACAAACACCCAAATAAGGTTTATGAACAGTAGTCTTACAGGGACATTGGAGAGGGTCCTAGATCACACAAGTCCCCAAGTTCAACAGTCTTGGGCTCCTTTCTCAAGTCTCTAGTGCCCGGACCCCTGTTGCACTGCTGCTGGGAGGAGGTCCTTGGACCAGTCCCCTGAAATTCCATGTAACTGGCTCTCTGTTGCCTTTATTTGTTCTGTAGACATACATTATACGGCTTCTGGAGGGGAGCAGTGAGGAGGATAATCAAAGTTATTTATATTTGTCTTTGGAAGTCATTAAGTTCTTTTTTGACAACAGATTTTGTTGTCAATTATATTTTACTTGGGCTGATGTTGAGATAAAGTCACTTTTTCTGTACACAGGGGTTTGGAGAGTAGGGAGGGAAGTAAGGTAGTAATGAACATTCCATAAGAAGTTGACAGTTGGGGACCGAGTCTTTCAAAAGGGGATTTGGAACAAGGCCATAGATTTCCTGTGTTTCATGCTTTTTTTTTTTTTTTTTTTTTTTTAAAGGATTCTCATTCAGGAATAAAAAGAATTGTGCTTGTTGTGATTCAGTTTGATCTGTTTTGCCCTAATGACTATAGTTAACTTAAAATACAAAAATCTTGTTTTTTTCCCTTTAGCCAACACGGGATGATCGAGGGTGGATTATTAGTCCTATTGGCCCCAATCCCTGGTGGACTGTGATAGCTGCAATTATCCCAGCTCTTCTCTGCACTATCTTGATATTCATGGACCAGCAGATCACAGCTGTCATCATTAACAGGAAGGAACACAAACTCAAGGTAACAAGAAGTTCTGACCTAGGACTCATAATGGCAACCTATTATATTTTTTTAAAATTTAGGGTAAGCCTGTTTAGGTCAGGAACTGTAGAACCTGGATAAAATCAGTCGTGGAAGGAGCTCATATGGGGTTTCCAGGGGGTTCCAATCCCTCCATTAATGACAAAGATTGGTTTGGAGATGAAACTAGGGTAGAGCATGATTGTATGATGTGAAGGAAGTTTGGAGTCCATTACTCTTCTCTCAGACCTGTGAGGGAGGTTGGTGGGCAGAATTCCTGGTGGTCCCCACGTAGCCACATGGTCTGGGTCGGGCTTATGTTCCTAATGTTCAGGTCAGGGCTTGAGCCACTGTTTCCTAGAAACAGTTATTCTCTCATTGATGTCCATTATCGAGGTTTCCAGACTGAACCTTGAGCCCAAGGATTCTAGGAGGTAGGGTTGGTGCCAGTACATTTATTGGTGAGAGGCTTCATGCCTCATCTCTATTCCTTTCTTCCCTAGAGTAGGCAGCATCCATATTTGGCAAGGAATGGGGAGTGTTTGTAGGAACCTGTTTATCTCCGACTCCTGTAGGGTCTACCCTCTAGAATGGTCAGGATGTGGCTTGGTCTCTGCTTACTCTGCCAAGAAAGGATGAATCTTTGAATATGTGAGACTCAGGGTGAGATCTGGGGGCACTTGAATAAAAATCGGATATTGGCATGTGTAAGACCAGCTAAGGTTTCTCTTTCTTCTCTGTTCCCTCCACACCAGGAGGGGCTGGAAGACTCTGCTGGAATCTCTGGACCCCTTCCTTCTTATCCATACACTCCTTCCTGCTTTGGGCCTGTGACTCTTAGCTCACTGTCCTATGTCCCACTACAGCCAGCCCACTGATGGTGACGGAGACTCTGTTTCCCCACAGAAAGGATGTGGCTACCACCTGGACCTGCTGATGGTGGCCATCATGCTGGGTGTCTGCTCCATCATGGGCCTGCCCTGGTTTGTGGCTGCAACTGTCCTGTCCATCACACATGTGAACAGCCTCAAACTGGAATCTGAGTGCTCTGCCCCTGGAGAACAGCCCAAATTCTTGGGTATCCGAGAACAGAGAGTAACAGGCCTTATGATCTTTGTGCTGATGGGCTGCTCAGTCTTCATGACAACTATATTAAAGGTAACCGTTCATTCATTCATTAGGTAAATACTGAGTGCCTGATTTGTGCCAGGAATTCTGTTAGGTGCTGGGAATACAGCACTATGGCAAACAGATACACATACAAATACCTGCCCTGAAGGAATTTATTCTAGTAGTATAAGACAGATAAGATGTAGTTAAGAAAGTTAGTTAAGAAAGCAAACACGGTAATTACAGAATATGATGTGTGATAAAAGGAAATATATGGTACTCTCTGTGGTACTATAGAGAATTAAGGGGAGATGTTTTAGTTACTGTGGTCAGAGAAGGCCTCTCTAAGGAGATGGTATTTAAGATGAGATGGAGCCAGCCATGCCGTGGATGGTGGGAGAGGGCGTGGGGGAAGGGAGAAAAGCAGTCTAGACAGGCCCTGAGGTGGGAAATAGTGATATGTGTTCTAGGAGATACCAGGGCTCAAGGGTGTTGAGTTAAGGCAAGAGCATTGAGATGGGATTGAAGAGTGGGCAGGGGCAGATCATGCAGGGCCTCGCTGACACTGGTAAAGGTAACCTTTGAAGGGTTTTAACAGGAGAGGGACATGATCCATTTAGTATTTTAAAAAGATCTCTCTGGCTGATAATCTAGAGAGTAAGTTTTTAGGGTTGAGGAAAAATAGAGGCAGAGAGACCAGTGAGTCTATTACAGGTGAGAGAGGATGGTGGCTTGGATGAGGAAGTTGGTAGTAGGGATGCATAGATAGCTCAGAGGAGATCCAAAGGTCTTGCTGGTCGACTGGTTATGGAATGGGGTGAGGAAAATGGAAGCATCAAAATGCCTTCTAGGTTTCTGACTTGACCATCTGTGTGGAGAGTGATGGCATTTAGGAGGGAGAAGACTGTTATGAAGGAGGAAGTGATTTTGTAAGGGGTGGGCATGGTCAGATTTGAGTGAGATGTCTGGGAGGCATCTGAGTGAAGAGGCTAGAGGAGGCTTCTGAGCTAAAAATATAAATGTGGGAGTCCACAGCACATCGGTGGTATTGAAAGCCTAAGGAGTGGATGAGGGAGAAAGGTAGATATAAAAGAGGAGGACTAGAGAGAGAGCAGAGTCTAAGGAGAGCCGATATTTCGAAGTTGGGTAGAGGAGGAGATAGCGACAGAGGCTCAGAGGAGCTGCCGGCGGCGGAGGGGGGACACCAGCAGGCTGTGATGTCAGGGAAGCCAAGCAAGGGGAGTGATTGGTCAGAAACTGTCTGGAAAGATGAAGACTAAATCAAGGCCATTGGGTTTGGCAACATGGAGGCCTAACGGGACTTGACAAGAGCAGATTCATTGGACCAATAGAGCAGAAGCCGAATGACAGAGGCCGGAGAGTAAATAGGTGGTGAGGAAGTAAAGGGCATGTGGGCAGACAACTCTTTCAAGAGGTTTTTTTCTGTGAAGTGGAACAGAAAAATGGGCAGTGGCTGGTGTGACATGTGGGGTGAAAAGAGGATTTTTGGACAGATGGAGCCACCTTGAAAATGAGAAAAAAAATTTTTTTTGTGGGTGTAAGACCTGCATCTGGGAAAAATGGAATAAAAAGGAAAGCTCTATCTGCAAGCCCCAACCATTCCGGAGCACGCACTTATCTCCTTTGCCTCCTTCTCCCTCTTTTTGATGAATTGTCAACCACCTCAGCCTGCACTGCAAATGCTATTTAAGGGTGAGAAGTGGGAGAGGAGGGAAAGGATTCTGAACCATCTTCCTGTCCCCTTACCTTCCACTTAATCTTGCCACCCCTCCTCATGGCCCTGCCCACTTCTACTCTCTGTCCCCAGCCCTAGGTGCCTCTGGTCTGGGTGCCATCTGGAGGAGCCCAAAGGTCGCTGCTCCTCTGGGAATGTAACCATGAAGGCCTGGTGGTGGGCACTGCCTGGCCTTCCTGTAGCTGTCTCAGGGGGATTCTTTTAGGAAACCATTCAATAGTTCTTCCAACCAGGTTAGCACCAAATTGAGATGTCTACTCACTCTAGAGCTGGAACAACGTAAAATCCAGTGGGGATTTTCTGGTTCAAAGAAGAATTATGTTTGGGAATGTTCTTTAGCCTCAGAATAAAAGCAAGTCGAGTTTAGTCTTTGCAAAAAGGCTTGCCTTGATTCCGTAGGCCTCATTACTCTATCTCATGAAGTTGCTCTGAAAATTACCTAGACTGATATAATGTGGTAAGTATGTATGTATAGTCAAGTGCAGTAGAGTAATGTTGATATTTTTCCCCCCAATTATTCCTTCTCTGTTAAGATAACCTCCCTACTCCTGCCCTCAAGTCTCTGGTTAGTAAAAAAGCAAATGTTATTAGTCTATATTAAAATACACCAAATCCCTGAGGAGATGATTCTGCGATTAGAAAAGATTTAAAAGGTTTCAGTCCCGTAAAAGATGTGTGTGTGTGTGTGTGTGTGTGTGTGTGTGTGTGTGCGCGCGCGCGCGCCCATTTCCCTGGAGTAGGAAGAGCCAGATGGGGAGAAGAAGATGTGAGACCTATGATTTAACCAGGACCAAATTACACTTACGTGTAATCATTTCATTTCAGGACAAAATGATTTTTATCATTGTCAGCTTCTGCTTTTGCTTCTACTTCTAAATCACGTAAAGGCAGCAGAAACGAATACAGCATCTATGCCGTGATTTTGTGACTTGGCTTCCTTCTTGGAGGTTTGGAAGTTTATATAATCTTGAGTGTGCTATGATACCAAATTTAATTTCTGGCCTTTCTGCCCTTTCGTCTTCAGTTTATCCCGATGCCAGTACTCTATGGAGTTTTCCTCTACATGGGAGTGTCTTCACTACAGGGAATTCAGGTATTGCATGGTTCAGCCAGGCAGTGTCTTCTCTTGGTGAGCTCACCTGTCCTGACCAGGGAAAGACAGCCTCCCTAGGGGAGCACAAACCAGTTCTTGAGAAACCATTTCCTAGTCTTGCTGCTTCAGCTATTTTAGACATTTCTTTGGACATTGGGCAAAATAGGGTCATGTTGGCACGAGTGCACAGAGACTTTCAGGGTGGCCTGATTCAATGTCATGGTTCCAGTCATTCGTCAGTTATTCAACAGACAATTATCAGGCACGTATTAAACACATTTTGTCAGATGCTGGTAAACAGATCTGAAAGGTTGGTCGACAACCAAACTGGCTTCCACACATGGACAACACTAGGTTTAGTGCCAGGCTAAAGTGTGAGGCGGGGGTGCGGGTTTAACTGGGGGTACGTTGGTGAAGAGATTGGGGAGTCGTGGGAGCTGCTCCAGGTAAGCAGGCATTACTTCCTGTCACACTCTGCCTTTTCCCATCTATCAACTCATTCCTCTGAGTCCTTTGAACAGAGAGAATCAGGAGGTAACTTGGGTACCCAGATAATTTGATAATTTAGCCACTTCTTATACCGGTGGCTCATTCCTCTTTGTTATCTTACAGTGTCTAGTGGTCACTCTTATACACTGAGTTCTAATGTGACTTTGGGCAGGTTATTTATTTATTTAAAATTAATTTTTATTGGAGTAGAGTTGCTGTACAATGTTGTGTTAGTTTCTGCTGTACAGCAAAGTGAATCAGCTATAGGTATACATATATCCACTCTTTTTTAGATTTCCTTCCCTTTTAGGTCATCCCAGAGCACTGAGTAGAGTTCCCTGTGCTATACAGTAGGTTCTCATTAGTTATCTGTTTTATACGTAGTAGTGCATATATGTCAATCCCAATCTCCCACTTCATCCTACCCCGCCATCCCTGGTAACCATAAGTTTGTTCTCTACATCTGTGACTCTATTTCTGCTTTGCAAATAAGTTCATCTATACCATTTTTCTAGATTCCACATATAAACGATATTATACGATATTTGTTTTTCTCTTTCTGACTTAATTCACTCTGTGTGACAGTCTCTAGGTCCATCCACATCTCTGCCAGTGGCACTATTTTGTTCCTTTTTATGGCTGAGTAATATTCCATTGTGTATATATATATATATATATATATATATATATATATATATATATATATATATATATATATATATATATATATATATATATATATATACCACATCTTCTTTATCCATTCCTCTGTCAGTAGGCATTTAGGTTGCTTCCATGTCCTGGCTGTTGTAAATAGTGCTGCAATGAACATTGGGGTGCATGCATCCTTTTGAATTATGGTTTTCTCCAGATATATGCCTAGGAGTGGGATTGCTCGGTCACATGGTAGCTCTATTTTTAATTTTTGTGTGTGTGTGTGTGTGGTACGCGGGCCTCTCACTGTTGTGGCCTCTCCCATTGCAGAGCACAGGCTCCGGACGCACAGGCTCCGGACGCACAGGCTCCGGACGTGCAGGCCCAGCGGCCGTGGCTCACGGGCCTAGCCGCTCTGTGGCATGTGGGATCTTCCCGGACCGGGGCATGAACCCGTGTCCCCTGCATGGGCAGGTGGACTCTCAACCACTGCGCCACCAGGGAAGCCCTATTTTTAGTTTTTTAAGGAACCTCCATACTGTTCTCCATACTAGCGGTACCAATTTACATTCCCACCAACAGTGCAGCAGGGTTCCCTTTTCTCCACACCCTCTCCAGCATTTACTGTTTGTAGATTTTTTTTTTTTT